TCCTAATTTTATTATACCCGGAATAAGCATAAAGAAAACTCATTAACTCGTGCCCCGCCATAGCATCAATCATTTGATCAATGTTTAGCAACGAAAAAGAGTCTTTAGAGCATGCCTTATTTAAATCTTTATAATCTATACACATTCTAAATTTATTATTCTTTTAGGCACTACTACTATGTTAGCTAGCCAATCAGGGTAATTTACCTCTCAAATTGAACCTATGTTAAGTAACCGAGTTACCTTTTCCTTAACAAACATGTTTTTGACTTCTGCTATTGATTGTTTCTTCTGCCTTACCGGAGGGAAGTTAGGATCCAGACTCAACTTGTGGACCGCCACCTCCAATGGAATACCTGTCATATCTGAATGCGACCATGTAAAAACAATCAACATTAGATTTAAGAAAATTCATAATTTTTAGCCTGAGTTCGGGACTTAACCCCGTTCCTAAATGGAATTTTATTTCCAAGAATTCTTCGAACAAAGCCACTTGTTCGAGCTCTTTTGCAGTTGATTTGGCCGCATCCGTCTCTTTTGGTACCTAGAAAGACCTCGGTACTTGATATAATTCTGATGACTCCTCGTCTTTATCATCTTCAATTGAAATGTAAGAAGGCATCAGTTCTTGTAATTGCTATTTGCTCGTTTCTTTGATCTTGCTACTGGAAACGATTACTGCATTCATCTCCCTTGCAACCGGTTGATCTCCCCTAATATACTTGATCCCTTCCGGCGTTGGAAATTTTAACAGTTGATGGTATGTTGAAGGTACAACCTTCATTTCATGTATCCATGGCCTTTCAAGGATTACATTATAATCCATGTTGCCATCTACCACTTCGAACATGGTGTTCTTCGTTACTGCTTCAGCATGTATGGGCAGCAAAGTTTCTCCTCGGATTGTGACACTTATTAAGTTGAATCCCTCCAAAAGCTTTGTTGTCGGAACTATATTTCCGGTCCGCTTTGCTTTCTCAAAAACTCTCCATTGTATGATGTTGGCTGAGCTTCCTGGATCCACCAACACATGTTAAATTTTAAAATCTAAAACATTAAGAAAATTTACCAAAGCATCATTGTGCGGAAGAAGAAATCCATTAACATCTTATTTTGTGAAAGTGATGTCATCTTTTGAGACCTCCCGAATCCTCTTGCCATGAGTCACTGATATCTTCGTCTTCTTTGCTGCTGAAAACGTCACCCCATTTACTTCGTCTCCATCGAAGATCATGTTTATCGTCATACGAGGTGACCCTGCAACTGGTTTTGATGGTTCTGCAACATCCTGGTTTCTCCCATAGTTGTTCTTGGCACTGTCACTCATAAACTCTCTAAAGTGACCATTCTTCAATAATGTTGCTACTTCTTCGTGAAGGTGTCGGCAATCCCCAGTACTGTGGCCGTGAGTTCCATGGAACTCTACCATAGATTAGGATCTCTTTGGCTAAGATCTAATCGGATTGGTTTCGAGAACCTAGCTTCTTTAATATTCCTCATAGTCGTACCAATTGTATCAAGCTGATATTGAAATTGTAGTCAGATAATCTGGGATATGTTGAATCTTGGGAACCCGACGTCTCTTTCTCCTACAATGATCTACTATTCTGACCACGATTTGCCCTACTATCGGAAGTGAACCTATCTGATGATTGAAATCCTTTATTACTACGCCCATCAATCCTCTCATAAGGCTGAAAACGACTTCTAGAGGACCTCTTATCTACATCAAAATCATTTTTAAACTTATCTTGATTCCGATCATGATTCCATCCTTTGGAAGATACCGAATAACCCAATTGATCATATTCTATCATGATCTTTGACTCGTAGCGATTTTGAACATCTGCCCATTTGGTTGCCTGAAATTCTAGCAAACTTTCCTTCATTTTTTGGGAGGCATCGGAACTCAACGGGTTGAGACCCTTTGTAAATTCCTCCACTGCCAACTCATCCGGTACTGCTGGTAACAACATTCTTTCCGTTTGAAATTGGATCCCGAACTCTTGCAATAGTTCGGATTCTTCTTGGGATATTCTGAATATATCCTTCTTCCTTGCCTGAACCTTTCTTGCTCCAAGCATGAGCTTTGATAAACGAATATACAAGCATTTCAAAAGATTCAATGGAATGCTTAAGTAAGAGAGAATACCAAGTTAATGCACCCTTCGTCAGGGTTTTGCCAAACTTTTCAACAAAACATATTCGATCTCATACTGGTCCAGGTCATTTCCCTTTAATGTCGTAGTATAGGTCGTGATTTGTTCCTGGAACCAGAGTCCCATTATATTTTGGTATATCCGGCATCTTAAACCTCTTTGGGATCAACTCCAGAGCCGTACTTGGTCTAAATGGCAGCTGCATATACTTCTTGAAATTCCTTTGCATTCTGGTCCATTCTTTCATTCAATTCTCTTATGAATATTATGAGCTCGGATTTGAAAGGGTCATTAATGTTGTTTTCGTTTCCAGATCTACTTTCGGTGCCTCCTGCCTCTTCAAAACCGAACTCCTCCCTTGGAGCATTGTTCCTGGTTCTTTAAACTATTTGATTTACTGGAACGCTGGGAGGAATCAGGGCTCTTCCACTGGTATTTTTGGGAAGAACCTGATAACGTATGTTTCAACTCCGTCATCACCTGATCTTATCTTGAGAGGTGATCCATAATTGACCTTTGTTGCTCTCTCAAGATTTTGATTGTTTCAACAACGTGCTCATTATCCAGATCATCAGGAGTTGGTCTCTTCCCATATCAAAGATTCTGACCTTCGTGAACTAGAGTTGTTTCATCTCCTTTATTGCAGGTTTTGCTGGTTGGATCATTATGCTAAAACACATCTTCACGTTCATTGTGTGCTCCAACATTGTAGACATTGTTAGCTACCATATCTGATTTTTCTTTTATAAAGAAAGGAATAAAAATTTGTTAGTAACAGATAAATGGATCAAAGCAATTACATAATTATCTATGCCTCAAGATAGGAGCCAAACTATTTACCCGTAAAACGGTACAATTAAATTTGTAATTTGATTTATAGACAAGTGATCGATTTGACCCAAAAATATAAAATGAATAAGAACATAAACACTATTATGAAATAAATTTAAAGGAAATACAAGCCTGGCTATGAACTTAGCCTCTCTGGTAACAAAAGTGAGAATGATATTCCAGAATAAAGACAAAGAATAATATTAAAAAACGAGAGTTGACTTTTGTGTACATAATATTTCGTATCTACAAATAATGCTAATTCCTCTATTTATAGCTTTATTTAGGAAGACAAGATTCCCAAATCAAGTTCATCTTGAATGATTTTAAAACCGTGATTGATGGTTGCATAACGGTTGGTTGTGAATGCAGATATTCTTTGTAATGACTACTCATCGAATGCTATCCGATGCCAATATTTTGAATATTTGTCATCGACTACAATATCTTCGGGATTCATTCAGCACCGGTCACATGTTTGCAATCGGTATCGATTTTTCGCTGATTCACATCCTATCTGTCTTCAGCTCCACGTGTCACCCCTTCATTCATCCACTAATTTTACCGCATATATATTTTACTACTCATAAATATTTATATTCTTATTATTTACTCACCACATGATTAATCATCCTTTTGACCAAATTCTTTTCCTTTTTTTTTTTTTGTAAATGTTATACCAATCATTCTTTACTTCATCCATCATTATGTTTATTAAGACCAATCGAGAACCATACTTTAGTGGATCTTGAGGCATGACTAACTCCTTCCCGTTGAGATAACTTGAACCCTTACCTAAAATTTTACTAGTTCCCAAGACCATTTAAAGTATCCTAGTGTATTTAAATATTAGGCGGCGACTCCATTACTCTAATTAACTTATAGAGTCCTATATGTTGTGCTTTATTTAATATGTTTAAAATAGGATGTATTAAATATTAGATAATATTAATATAAATTTTATACTAAAATGGTAATAAAGTGAGATAATTATAATTAGGGGTGTTCATAAAAATCCAAAAACCCGAACCAAACCGACCGAAAAACCGATACTTTTTAGGTTTGGTTTGGTTTTGGTTTTGAATTTTAAAAACCGATCAAATAGGTTTGGTTTTGGTTTTAATAAAAAATAACCAAAAAAATCGAACCAAAACCACTATAAAAGTAGCTATTTAAATTTATTATTACACCTATGTATATGTCTATTTTTATATAAAGTTTCTAAAATTTTATAGTACATATTAGTCATTTGTATTTTTAGTCTAGTTCTTTGCTATTATAATAATCTAATTCTTTGCCTTTACATTCTAGTTTGATTGATAGTTTCTTTTGCTAAATACAAGAACTTATTTCATGTTAAAAATAATTGATTTTTTATTGAGTACTTAAATTATTCATCATATTTAATTCAATTATCATCAACATATCTTGGTAAATGATAGATTTCTCAAAGAGCAATTGATTTGATAGTGTTACGTTGAAGATATAATCGTTGAAATATGTGTTTGGTAGTGTATGCCTCATATTTAAGAAAAAAATCGATAAATAACCGAAAAAACTGAAAAACCAACAAAAACCGAATCGATAAAAAACCAAGTTAATTGGTTGGTTTTGGTTTCAATATTTGAAAAACCGACTTACTTGGTTTGGTTTCTTTTTAGGGAAAAACCGACCCAAACCGACCCATGAACACCCCTATTTATATTCTCAGAACTGAACCAAACGAACCCTTAGCTCTTTCCGCACGTGATTCCATCTCCTGGCACAGCGAACTAAAACACACACACTCAACAACAACAACAACAACCCAGTATAATCCCACTTAGTGGGGTCTGGGAAAGGTAGTGTGTACGCAGACCTTACCCCTACCCTAGGGTAGAGAGTCTGTTTCCAAATAGACCCCCGGCATCCTTCCCTCCAAGAACTCCCCACCTTGCTATTGGGGAGACTCAAACTCTCAAGGCTTGCCATCACAGCAACTCTCTTGTCTAAAACACACACTCACAGAGTCAAAAACCTCGAAAAACAAAAGTACAAAAAGAGGCGGAATTCAAATCTTTCAACTAAATCGGATTCTAAAAGCACAATTCACGTCCGCGTTCCCCCCAGAACTGATACTTCCTTTTACGGCTCTTTTGATTTTTTTCGTGTTTTATCTGTTTTGAGTTCGATTTGGTTGTACTATATACATATATTTGCGGCTTTACTCTCCTTTTTCTGTTACATTTTATAATCTGGCTATGGACTACGAGCCCTATGATAGCAGCGGTGAGTTTCTTCTTTAAAAAATGTTTGATCTTTTTGTTCTTTGCGTTTTGAAGTCTCAATTAGGGTTTTGAAGTGTGGTTTGGTGTTAGGGTTAGTGGAATTATCATGTGCATTGGTTCTAATATGAACTTCTTGTGGTTGTACTTTTGCTGCTTATGCCCACTTTAGAACCTATTTTCTTGGGTGAAATTTAAACTGATTTTCTTGTAAGAATTGATGTGTTTTAAATGAGGTAAGGAATTACTTTTAAGTGAAAACAGTTCATTTGTTCATTGAGCAGCGGAATGTGAAAGTAGTTTTTCTTGAATTTTAGTTTAGATGCGTATGCTACCTTCAAGATTCATTCTTTAAGACTCTTGTAATTCTGCCTCGGTATTCTTTTAGCTGAATTACATGATTAAAATGAATCTTGATGTAGAATTAAAAGCCTTTTGCTCAAAACCCAGCAGAAACACTAAGTGGTTTCTTCCTATTTGCCTAAAGAATCTTGTGCTAGTGGATGGGAGCAGGTATCAGGTGGATTCGAGGCTCACACAAACTGATCTGAATAATTAAAAAACAAAAGAAATTACAAGAGTCTTTAGGACTGAGATTCTAATACCACGGAAAAATGAAATCTTAGTTTGGAATGTTTTTTAGGGGTACACCTGCTGCAGTTTAAGTTTTATATTCAAAGGTCTTTCATGATAGAAAGTGATCACTGTTTTCCTAGCACAAGCCGGTTCTTGAGAATTTCTTTTGTTGGTGCTTATGTGAAAAAGTGTCACAACTTGTATCATATAATGCATGGTACTAGAACTATGGTTAGTATACTCTAATAGGAAGAACCTGTAAACTTGTTACAGGAACGGATGATGATCTACCTCCGTCACATCAAAGTAGGATTCCAAGAGGTGGTGGCCGCATTGCTGGAAATGGAAGATCTGCTGTCAGAGGTTCTATACCTCGCGCGAGGATGTATGGTGAAACTGACATGGAGGCCCAAATTCACCAGCTTGAGCAAGAAGCATACAGTTCAGTTCTAAGAGCCTTTAAAGCTCAAGCTGATGCCATTACTTGGGTACCATCTTTTATAATATACTTGTGAATCTAATATTCGAATTTGTTTGATCAGGTTTATAAATGGTTCCTCAATGAATGTATTTTCTTCAGGAGAAGGAAAGCCTCATAACTGAGTTAAGAAAAGAGTTAAGATTGTCCAATGAGGAACATCGAGAACTTCTTGCTAGAGTAAATGCTGACGATGCTATCCGAAGAATAAGGTTATTTTTGTAGCTAACTCTTGTCCATGCTAACTCTTGGTTTTGTTCTGCATTCTAGAGTTATGTTGTCTATTGATTTTAGGGAGTGGAGGAAATCTAGTGGACATGAATCAAGTATGCTTGGTACTGGTCCAGCTGTTCATGATCCAATGCCCAGTCCTTCTGTATCAGCTTCAAGGAAGAAACAGAAGATAGCCTCATCTTTACCATCTCACTCCTTTGCTGGACCATCTCCTACTTTTCATCAACCTGCTGGGACTGCTGCAAACCAGCCATCTTCATCCGCTGCTAAAAGAGGGCCTATGATGGGACCTAAGGGCAAAAAGCATAAATCTGTAAGTCAGAACAAAACGATATGCAAGCTTACCATCTATTTTTCAAATCATTCTCGGTATTGAGTATCTTACTGCTATTTCATCATAGGGCCAGATGATGCCTGGTGCGTCTTCAGTGAAAATGCATAATCCTTCCTCTGGTCCATCTGGAAGAGGCCAATTTGGTAACCGGGTTTCTGAAGCTGCTGAAGCTGCATCATCTGATCCATTGATTGGAAGGAAAGTAAGAACTAGATGGCCTGATGACAATAATTATTATGAAGCGGTCATAACTGATTACAATGCAGCTGAGGTGCACATGATTCTTTGACTGAAGTTCATTTATTTGTTTAGTCATTCATTTATATATTTATTTATTTATTTCTTGTGGTTAGTTGCTGAATCTTGATGCACTTTTGCAGGGTAGACATGCTCTTGTTTATGATAGGGGTACTGCAAATGAGATGTGGGAATGGGTCAATCTTGCAGAGGTAAGGAGATGCTATATTCTCATGAAATAAGCATTTTGATTAATTGCTTGTGTCCTAAGTGCTTTTAAAAGAGAAGCACGGAAAAAGCTATGAAGTCCTTCGAGGTGAATTGTGCATTTTGCGGAAAATGCATAAATTACCAAATCTATTTTTATAAAATCAAATGCAATAATAATTACTAGTTCTAGTGTATATAATGTCGACAATATTTATCCATCAACTTGAATTAAACATCATTAAAACGTAATTTCAACGAGGCCACAGAAAAATAATTTCAGTTACAAATTTACTTTTCAGTTTGCAATTAACCATTCAGTAAGGAGAGTTAATTTGTAACATTCGTTTTTTTTTTTCTTTAGTAACTGAACTAATAGAGTAAAGAGAGAAGAAAAAGAGAAAGCTTAGAATCAAAAGTAGTATGAGGACTTACATATTAGAAGAAGAAAGTGGAAATTGTTGGATGAGGAAGAAGTGAATCAAAAGGCCTCTAGGGGTTTCGTTAAAAAAACAAAGGTAGTACAGTGCAAGCGAGAGATCTATGGTAGGTGCACGTACACGAGGTCGAATCCTGGCTGGTGGGTGTGACGTTTAAGTAGAGAGGGGTAGAGTGCCTAGGACAACAGAGTTGCTGTAGTGCTACTGCTCGGACTGGAAAAGGCTAGAATGAAGACGTGGAATTCGATTCCTTCAGCTGTGTGGTGGACTATTTTGGAAGGAAAGGAATGCATGAATTTTTGAGAGCAAGTTTGAATCTTCTATTATTACTACTCCGTTTCAATTTATATGGCACACTTTCCTAATTAGTCCATTCTAAAAAGAATGACATGTTTCTATATTTGGAAACAAATTAACTTTATACTTTCCATTTTACCAATTTTACCCTTAGTGAGAAGCTTTTATAGCCACACAAATGTTATGGACTACATAGCTTTTAACCTTTATGCTTTAAAGACCGTTTCAAAAGTCTTTTTTTTTCTTTCTTAAACTCCATGCCGAGTCAAAATGTGCTGTATAAATTGAAATGGAAGGAGTATTAAGTACAAATTAATCTTCTTACTGTTTTTTTTGTGTGTGTAACATGACTATTGCAAATGATATAGAGGTCTTGATAGATTTCTTGAGTCCATTGCACATTCAACAGTGATGCTGTCCTTTAAATATCTTTTAAGTACCTTCTGGTTGCTTACTTTTTAATACAAATATCTTTTAACAATAAAAAAGTAGAGAAGGGTAGAGGGATGAACTTATTATCCCCGATTTTTGAAGCTTGTTAAAAAAATGGACCTGGGAGACGTGACACCTCCGAACCCCACGACTGGACATTTGGTTCGTGGACAAGATAACGTGGGGCCCAACATTAGGTAAACCAAGAATGGACCAACGCTTAACTGTTAGAGATAGCTAATAAGGCGAGGATAGGGTAAGACCATATAGAGAGACAACAACCACCCATTCTCTCGACTAATGTAGGACACTTTACGAAGGTGTAAACAACGGATTTCTTGGATACCAAAAGAAGGAAAAAAGTAAGACAAAGACGTGAATCAAAAGAAACAGATGAATAGAAATAGAAAGGATAGCATAACAGACCACGACAACCAAAAGAACGTAGAGCCTAGAAGTGCAAAAGAATTTTGAAACTGACCAATTGATCACAGCCACAAGATGGGACATTAGATTTAGAAGGAGCACCAATGGTTGGGAATTGCAGAGAATCATGCATCTCGTGCAGCAACTTGGGAACTTTCACGGAACATCATACACCATGGACTGCCGTTTTCGGATGCTACAAAAATACGGCATTTTCAATATCAATTCATGCTACAAAATGCTAAATGCATCGTTAGATGATAGACACCATTGGCTTTGGGAAAAGATCTGGAGGTCTAGATCCCGATACAAGGCATCTTGCATCTGCTGGACATTAGCATATGAGGCTGATCTAACTCCACAAAACCTCCAGCAAAGAGAAATGTTTCTATGCATCTAATGTTACATGTGTGAGATGGCATCCGAAGATGCTAACCACCTGTTCTTGCGCTGTCCAGTGGCACTCCTTTGGAACTTGTTTTCCGGTAATTCTGGAATCAACTGGAGAATGCGTTGGAAAATTAAACAACTTCTTTACTGCCGGACAGGTAAAGAAGTGGAAGAGGGGAAGAGAAGGATTTGGGAAACTATCCCATCAATCATATGGTGGGTGATCTGAAAAGAAAGAACCCTCAGATGTTTCGAAGGAAAGAGGGAGAATACATACTAGCTCAAATATAACAGTTTATCTCTCTTAGTTTTCTGGTGTAAAATGCAGAATGTGCAAGATGTAGATAGCTTTTTTTAGTTTTCTCATTCTTCTTACAGATTAAACTAGGACGGAGCTGAGTTTTTGCATTGGTTCCATGATGGAACTGATGCCCTTGTTAGGTTGATGTTTTAACTTCTGGCACATCCTCACAGCTACTTTTGCTTAACAACATTAACACTTATCAAAAAATAACCGACAAATTTTCTGTTTATATTAAAATAAAATAAAAAATTGAATTGAACTTATGGAACTTTATATGCATGTCAGAATACTTAAAGTTACCATGTAGATCCATCAGTTCAACCAAGAGGGTGTTTGGATTGACTTATTTTAAGTGTTTATTGGCTTTTAAGCACTATTCTAGTTTTGTGGTGTTTGGCAATGATAAAAAGTGCTAAAGCACTTAATTTTTAGGCATGAAAAGTACAAAAATAAGCCAAAACCCAAAAGTTGGATATTACCAACTTATGGCTTTTGGCTTTTAACTTTTAGCTTATAAGCTGCTTTTTAAAAGCCAATCCAAACACCCTCTTAACCTGGAGTGTTTCCCCTCCACATTCTTTATTTTATAGGATATCCCTTTGCACGTGGAGAGATATGGAGAGTAGGAAGTTTACAACTTAGAATATGCAATAAGTTAATAGAGATTCATTTCAGATGTCAACTTATAGCCTCAAATCACCTTTTTCTATTCTACTTGTTACAAGTACTGGATTTCTAGTTAATGTTCTTCCAGTTGCAATAAAATGAAATGCAATGTACTAAAAATTAAATGAAATGAATGAAAATAACTAATGTCAAGATCTATCGCACAGTTAACTCTTTTCCTTTGTTGTTGATCTACCTAATTTTAGTTTTTATCTGTTTTAATCCATGGAGCAATATTGACAACAGTCAAAGCTTTCAAATGATGTACATTATAATAGTAAATAAAGCATATTGCACCTAAAAAGAAATATTTGGTGTACTTCCAATGCACTCATTGTAATACTGTGTTTCTAATTTATAGTGACAATGAATTTATTTATTCTTGAATTTATAGTGATAATGGTATTTTTTGTCTTATGTTTAATCTTGTTAGTGGTTTTATAACAAATGAGACATCCTAATAATCCCTCCATTTCAATTTATATGTACCTATTTCCTTTTCAATTCGTTTCACACAAATATTATGACATGTTTAAGACCACAAGTTTCAAAAAGATTATAGCCACACAAATGATTATGGCTTGTTTATGACCACAAGTTTCATAAAGTTTTCATTTCTTTCTTAAACTCCGTGCCCAGTTAAAGGTTCACATAACTTGAAACTGATGGAGTATCATATTGTTATATACCCTTTTAAAAGTACAAAAAATAAATTCATTGGACCATACCAAAGATAAACCAATATAATTGAGACGGTTCAAAAAACTTACAAAGTTTGGCTATAAGCAGTAGATTGATCGAAGTATTAGTATAGCATCAGTTTCATAAAATAAAATAACCGATTGAGTCAGACCATTGACAATCTTAGTGATAGCATATGTAAAGAGTCCTTAGTACCCAAGTAGCAAAAGGTCTCTTTTCCTCTCTTTTCTTTTTGATCTTCCAAAACCATACTCCATTTCAATTTATGTGAAGCTATCTAACTGAGCACGGAGTTTAAGAAAAAAGAGAATTTTTTTTGAACTTGTGGTGTAAAATGAGGTACATATATTTTGTGTGGTTATAAATCATTGCATAAAGGTAAATTATTTCCAAATATGGAGCGGTCAGTCTTTTTTGCACGGACTAAGAAGGAAATATGTTAACATAAATTGAAATGGAGGGAGTATTAAAAGAATCCATTGTTTATTTCCAGATCACTTTATGCCTCATTCTTAGAATTACTTCGCCTCACCCATGAGGTATAAACCTTGCTTTGGATTGCTTTATCTTATCGCTTTAAGCGGCAAATAGATCTGCTTTACTAACACTTGCATGTCTCATTGGCATATCTGTTTCCTATTGGTTTGTGAGGGTGGTGGTATTGAAAAAAGTTATTAGCCATGTTTTTAAAAGCGAAAAGCACGAAGAATAGACAAGGTCAATAAGTCTTGAGGTGGAACGCGGTAAGTAAAGCGCACGCTTCTTTGAATTGAATCTCACACTTACGGAAAATTAAAAAAATACCAAGCCTATGTGAATTTAGTACTATAATAATTAAATTGCAATTAAAATAACTAACTTCAGCATCTGGTATAAAATGATGCAGACATTAGTACAAATCCTTAGAGTTGAAAAAACTCACCGCTTCTCGTTTGGATCACTGCACACGTCATTATTTGAAGCGCATATTTCTCTGAAGTGCATGGCTTCACCTATGAAGCGACAACCCCTCGCTTCACATTGCTTCTCTGAAGTGCATGGTTTTTAGCGACACTGGCTTGTGTCCCAAATTGCTCTCAAACTAGGCGTGGTCTTATAGTCAATGTACTTAGCTCCTCATTTATCATCGTTTACTTAATGCTCCTAATTCTTGCATATATAACCAGATTTGACTCATTCTTTGTTTATTTTGAAGAGCTTATTCGAGGTTTTGACTTAACTGTCTTCTTTGACAGATCTCTCCAGAGGATATCCAGTGGGAGGGTGAAGATCCTGGAATTTCTCGTCATGGAAATTACAGTGGATTAGGGCGTTGCATGAATAGACCTGTTGGACGTGATAGTGCTCCAGCTGCAGGTAGAGGTAGGGGTTTGCCTAAAGCTCAATCCAGAAAAGATTTTCTATCATCACAGAATGGCATAGCAAAGAAGAGATATGATGATATTCAGCTACTTCACACTGATACATTGATTAAAGAGGTAACCGCAGTTTGATATCTGCTTGATACAAAAATACTACCTTTCTGCATTTGTTCATTGACTGGTGAATGTGGTTAGGTGGAGAGGGTCTTTGGTGCTGTTCATCCAGACCCTCAGGAGGTTGAGAAGGCAAAGAAGGTATTGAAGGTTAGTGGCACCCATCTTTATGGTGATTAGGGGTGGGCATAAAATCCGAAAAACCGAATTCCGAACTGGACCGAATTAATTCGGTATTTCAGTTTCGGTTTTTCCGGTATTTCGGTATAATTCGGTATTAAATTTTCGGTTATTCGGTATAACGGTACAGTCCTCGGTATTAAAATTTCGATATTTCGGTATACCGAAATGCCGAAATACCAAATTATTTATGTATTTCTTATCCAGCTATCCTAGTCCTACCTACACTGCCCTAGCCCAGCCCAAGTTTCTATTTCTAGTCCAATAAGACTAAGCCCAAGTCATAGTCTCTCTTATTCTGCCCTTACTCTCTTAGTCACTTTCTAAGTTAGAATTAGGTTTCTCTTCTCAAACAAGTGAAGAACAGAGTACAGACCGGCTGCGGTGACTGCGACTGCTGCGATTGAAGAACAGATCGTCACAGGGACTTCACGACCTCGGCGCCGAGGTGCTTGGATGGACAACTTCTCTAGTCATCTGTGTGAATTGTTTAATGTACTTTAATTCTGCTGCTTTCTGTGTTTATGTACTTTAATTAGTCTTGTTAGTTGGCTAGTTGCTTAGTTCGTTTATTTTGTTGGCTAGTTTCTGTACTTCGTTGTTGCTGTCTTGGCTCTATATGCCTGGAACTTGTGGCTTTTCTTTTACAGTCCTAAGCTTAATAAAACACGGAGGATGACAGTGGCTTTGATTGGAACATTGTTTGATTTTAGAATGGAACATTGTTTGATTAATGTTTTGATTGAAGGAAGTGTGTTACTGGGCAGTGGGCACTTCATTTTAAGGCCAACAGTGGCTTTTCCTACTTACCCTTTGGTGACATGGTCTGAGGTTTAAGGTCCTTCGCCCTAACTGTTCCGTTAATGTATCAAACCGAAACCATACCGAATCAAAGTAAGAAATACCGAACCGTACCGAACTACGGTATTTGGTATACACAATTGATAAACTGAATACCGAAATAATGAACCGAAATTTTTAAATACCGAACCGAAGTACCGAATTGGTGATTGTCCTGCTCACACTTTAGTCTCGCTAGAAGCCTAACTGCTTATATTGTACAGGAGCATGAACAAGCACTTCTGGATGCTATTTCAAGGCTTGGAGAGATATCTGATGGAGATAGTGGTATGAACTGTGCCAGAATATTGTCTATTTATTTTTCATTTTGGGCCTCATTGTAATTGCATTTAAGTTGGATAACTTTCAGTACTATTCTCGAAGTCTAAGGTCATAATTGATTGTTTTGGTTCTTTTTTTTGTTTGCTTTGTGTTACGATGTACATTTGACTAATCATTAACATCTTGCATCTTATATTGGTTTCCAGCGAGTTGCACTCTTCATGCTTCAAGCCTGTAAGGACCACACAAAACCCTCTAGCTAGACAAAAAAACTGTTAATAGTATAAAACAATGCTATTATACTGCCGTTCCGTGTTCATTGCTTTTCGTTGAGAACATGAAAAATGGCTCTGATTGTGGATTTGTGATCATCCGAAACCGCTACCATGCCAGTCATAGTTACTTCAAGTCCTAGTTTAGATCTTTGACGAGATTCTTTTATTGTCTGAAATAAGGATCTTGATTTTCAAGGAAATTAACTTTGCACTTCAAATTCAAACTATTATCAATTAAGTATTCAACTACTTGTGAACCTTCCGATACTGTTTTATCCAATGTTTGTTAAATTACTCTTTTACCTGCAAATTTCCAATTCAATTCTAAACAAGTCCGAACTAATTGAATACTTGTGCCAGAAATTCCTTGAAACAGTTTGCCATTTCCATCATTTTCCTCAGGATCCTATTAAATAGAAATAGAGAACAAAATAACTAGGAAGGTTGTTAGACTCCCCCTCTTCTAGAAGGATCATCTACAAAGCTAATATCAATCTCATCGAGATCATTGATTTCATACCCAATCCCATCATTCTAATTACTTTTTCAAGAAATACGAGACATCTAAGTCATATCCTAAAATAACCCATTCTTAATCAAGTAAAATGATAAGTACCCTCTAGAAATTTTCAGTTAATGTATCTTGAGATTTCTTCACTGATAATTATCAGTGAATGTTAATGAAGTTCTCTTCTCCTGCACCAAAACCTTAGCCATGAGAAACTTTTATTGGCGAAACCAAGTATGTGGATTGTATGGCTTGTGTTGAACAAGGACTGTTCGTTGGTTGTGGTGCTTAGACTTTTCTTATTTTTTGTTACAACTAAAATGTATTGCCTTTTCTTTTGAGAAGGTAGAAATAAAATTATTGCCTTGATCCCACAATCCTTCATCGTCTGCCTGTAAGATGCCGTATATTTTCCCATTTGAATGATGTGGAACAAGCACGTCGCACAGTATAACTCTTTCAAGTACTAGTAAAATATCCTACTTGGCATAGGAATGGCTTCTGGTTGCGATCTTGGTGTAGATAATAGTTACAGTAGGATACACCCTCCATTTTGTTACCTCGATTTTGTTCCTTTGATGCTTGTTTTTCTGTTTGATATTAAGTTGCTTTTGTCATATATCTTACAGAATCATAAATTAAGTAGAAAATTGTCTTTCCTTGACATGCATGTTGTTAGATAGTTATGTGTAAATATATCCTAGTCCCATATGTAGTAGGAGTAGAATATGTCAAAGTCCCATATGTAGTAGGAGTAGAATATGTATTATATATAGGGCTCATTGTATCATTATTAATAAATAGATTTTTCTCCCGTGCATTCTCACATGGTATCAGAGCTTCAGTGAGAGAAAAATCTCATCGCCATGCAATTTCCTGACAACTTCGTCTTGTTCCCAGGGTTTATCACTGCTACAGTGGTACTGTGCATATACCAGTACCACCATCACATCCAAAACCCTTGTGCGACCAAACCCCAAAAATTCCAGTACCATCTGAACAGAAAAGTCAGTCACCGTGCGTCTTTCCAGTTGACAACTTAAGATTGATTTGCGTTATCTCCTCATCAGTAAGTGTTGTGCGAAAACCAAAACTACCATTTTGTTTGGAAAAGTCAGGCGACAAAACCCTAGTCAATCGCTCCGGCAGAAAGTCACAAGCTTCCATGCGCCGCCGCCAGAACTAGGGTTCCGGCGAGCTACAATAACTTTTCCAACGCGTGTGAGCCATTTCGGCCACTTTTTGACAAAACTTCTGCATGACAACTTACTCGTCCAGTGATTCCGAGCCTACCCATATAAATTACATCAAATTCTGACAACTTTTATTTTTTCCGACGTGATTAGTAATTTCCCGTTGCGAACAGTAATTTTATAAAAGTTTCTGTTTTCTTGTGGTGTTTTAAAACCTATTTTGTAGTATGGAATTCGGCTTAGTCTCACTATTTTCAAATTTTTCTGGCGGCCTTTCGGCCAAGCTTATGAGCAACCACTTGGTTTTGTTGCTCAGCGAGAGTCTAGTGGCCTTGTATTAGTTACATATGTAACAAGCTCGGTACATATGATTTTTATGTACCGGCTTGAGGGGGAGTGTTAGATTGTTATGTGTAAATATGTCCTAGTCCCATATATAGTAGTAGTAGTAGTAGTAGTAGTAGTAGTAGTAGTAGAATATGTATTATATATATAGGGCTCATTGTATCATTGTTAATAAATAGATTTTTCTCCCGTGCATTCTCACACATGTCATTAGGAAATGCGATGGACAAATCTTTTACCTTATTTTTTCCATATCCACCTAAATAGATAAATGAAGAAACTTCTCAAGAACAAGACACTACATTTAAATGATTGTTCTCGCTACTGGAAAACAAAAAGTTATTTGTATGACATATCATTTCATTGTGGAATATAGCTCGATTTCTTACTGTTCAAGAAAAAAAACATCTGATGCGATGAATACCATATGACACAACAAACCATGCACTGATGTCCAAGGCAACAAGATCAGAAAAGCACCAAGATCTGCTGAAATCTTTAGTGTGTGATCTCAGCTCAAGACAAGCCCATCGAAAATTAGGTGGATGCCTTAGGTCTTGGTGCTGCATTGAAGTTCTGCCTGACAAGCCCATGGGAAATTAGGAGCACATGCACGCTTTAGGTCTTGGTGCTGTGTTGAAGTTCTGCCAAAGTGAGGTGAAGTGTTCAACATGCATTGCATGTAGTTTCAAGGCTTAACTGGGCCTCAAGCAAGCCTCTAGTAACGTTGTACTTTTGAAATTACGTGATGTAGAAGGGAAATAAAAATGTGAAAAAGGTGAAGTTACATTCTAAACTTTAAGATGGTATCCTCCCTTTGAAATCGATAAGCATAAGTTAAACCACCCTGGGAATAAAAGCAAAATAAACACCTGCTAAAATCAAAGTGGATGCTGTGGTCATCTGCATAAATATAAATTATATGAAACTTAATTAGGATCTGAACATCATGGATTTTGCGGTAACAGGTGACTCAAAGTCTTAGTAGAAAAAATATTCTATCATAGTTGATACTAGTTTATTTTGATGGAAGGTCCATGACTGTTTAGTTAGATCCTCGGTGGGGCATCAAATGAAACGGAGGATTATGATGATGCAAAGAAGAGAATCTAGGATCACCGAGAATGCCCCAGATTCAAACTGATAGAGGTTTCAATGCAGTGCCCGTGGATGAGCTGTGGAACTGCTACTTTTGCTAATGAATAATGTGTTGAGGCAAGGAGAGTGTAGGACTAGTAGCGCAACTGGTAGCTTGAAAGAACAGATGAATAGGGCCCATATTGAGCTTGCTTCAATTGCTTGATTTGGAGCATTCTTTTCAAGTGGGATAATGTTCAACTGTGTTTTTGGTGAAATTGTAGTTGTGAAGATTTAGGGTATTTCTGGGGAACGTTAGAATAGAATACCAGTGAACACTTCCTGACCTATCCCTTAGTTCCCTTTATGTTTTCCGTTCCTGCATATTTTGGAAACACGACCATAAATATCCATCCTTCAATGGGCTTTCTGTTTAAGAAAACAAACACCCCAAAAATAATAATAGTGTTTAACCTAATTTTTTTTAATAGGCTAAGCAATTGAATTTGTACTTTTGGCCACAAACAATCGAATTAAATCAATTTTACCTAATCCCTCGATTAATTGAGTATAAAAGACTATACAGTAGATAATTGCGCTAAAATAACAATAAAGAGAGAGAGTGAAAGTGATTATTACTGATGAATCTGCGTCAGTTGATGATTGATTGATGACCAAAATGAACACAACAATTTTGCCAGACTTTCAGTATATAATATTGAGTGAATCACAATGTGTTACAATGTTGGGGAGTGGGAATATTTATAGGGTATCCTACTGGTAACCGTTTCCTAGAATCCCTCCTGCACGTTATAGACGTTACAAGCAGTAAAGGTGAATCCCATCCGTTATGCTAGCTGAATTATAATTGCAGGACGTGATTAATGTAGGATCCCGGATATCTTGGCGTCTCTTGGTTCGGGGTAGGTACCTACCCGGACACCTGTGATCATCCGGACAGGTTATTCAGGAACGGCCTTGTCGGGGTAGGTGCGGAACACTAGTTGTCAGTTAATCTAATTTTCAATGTGAATTTGGGCTTCATTTCCTTGATTTTTAAAAAAATAAATTGACATATTCAGAAATTGTATAGAAGTAATGTTAATCGCAATATTTTGTATTGAATAAAATTTAGAAGATGCTTGAAAATAGTTGTCAAAAATGTTGTTGATTTCCTAAATAGTAATTCTACTGTTCTCTTGTGACGGAGGAAATATTATTCTTCAAGATATATTCTAATCATTTCCTTTACTTTCTCTCTTTCTCACGCTCCTCCCTCCTTCCAGTTGGAAATTTATCACCAGGAAGTGCCATAAAACCAAGCTGCTGTCTCCTCCGCCTCCAATATCATGTGCAGTTCAATGCATTCATTTCGCTTCAATCAAATTCACATACTGGCTGTGATGTGTATATCCAAAATACCACCATCTTAGTGGACTTTTGTCTATTACTGGCCATTTCTTTGGTCAGCCAACCCTTCCCTCTGGTGGAAGGATCAGCACATTATGTACATTTTTAAGGTGAAATAAGTAAGAAGTTTTTCAGGTTGTAACAGGGTTAATGATTGAGATGGATTGATGGAGAAATCAAAGCAGAAAACATTATGAGGCAGAGCAACTGGATGTGTCTGTACCACATAGAAAGTTAAAATGCATAGATGATTGGTCTTCCTCTGTTGCATGTTGTTGTCAGTAGCTTTACTCGAGGAAGCACTAAATCATGTTCCTGTTGTCCTTCTTGGACTTACACAACCTAAATATCGCCCCATGTGTTTGCATAAAGGTAAAACTATGAATGACAGTAATGAACTGGAACTTTATGGTTTTCCAAATCCTCAAAATTTTGCTACTCGTAGCATCTGGTGTCATAATTGTTGAGCCTAACATCGCTGTCTGTTGCATGCGTGGTTTCTATGTAAAGGCACTGCTTTTGACTTTCTGTTGTTTCACATCTTCCTTTCTTGTTGATCAGAACATTTACTAATACTGTTGCAGATGAACGGCATTGCATGCATGGGCAAGCGATGGATCAGGAATGATAGACAGACATCTCGTAAATGGTAATTAGCTGTGTAGAGCTGCTGTCACTTAACTAGCTGTGAAGAACTGCTGTCACTTAACTAACAGCCAAATGGGCGGGGCGTATATATTTTGTTGATGGTCACCACTACGTTAAAACACCAGATTAATATTAGTCTGTTGTATAATGCCTACTTCAGAAAATGTATGCTAACAATAAGTTACTCTAGTTTAGATTCTTAGCATAGGCCAGTCTGTAGCTTGGTGATTGTTTCCTGTAGTTGCAGGTTCTTGCCCTTGTAAAATTATCACATTAGCAATTAGCATGTGATCATGTAAATAGTTTTATTAACAGCTGGTGCCTAAATTATGGCATCCCTGTCTTTCTTGTGCTCATTGGAATCATGACAAACAACTCAGTTGAAGCTCCAGAACTGCCAGTTCGCGCAATTCTTCTCTCCCCAACTGCATTTTATCTGAACATGCATTGAAAGTGCATCAACTGATCACTATTTTTCCCTATAGTTTTTCCGTTATTGCGTCTGTAGCTTGCTGCCAATCTTAGCTTTTGAAAGGTGGTGTGATTTGAGAAGGTGGTGGTGGTGGGAAGGGGTTAATTTCTTTTCAGGTGTTATATCCAATGATATATATATCTATATATATAGAGATGAGAGGGGATAGGTTAGCACTCTTCCCACTTTTGACTTCTCAAATTTAACCCTCTAAGCACATTGCCAACACATTAAATATAAAGATATTTTTGTCTTTCTACCGAATCCTTCTTCTCACTCTACATTGTGCTCCCAGATTGTACTTGCAAAACCCATCCATTTTCTCGCTCGTCTCCACCACTGGTCAAGTGCAGCAATTTATCTCCTTTCTTTATTATTATGTTTTCCTCTTCTTCCACCATATCCATCTCCGTACTACCCATCTAATCAAATAAAAATTCCAATCTTTACCAACATTAATTTTCTTGCATTAAACTCTTTTATTAGCGGTAGACCCATTCCCTGTTATTAAAAAACGAAGCATAAAGTACAAAGTATTGAAAAGAAAGCTATCATAAAATTAATGGAAACTGAAAATGAATACATTCCAGAACTGGTGATCTATAACTAAAAGGAAGAACAAAGCATTTCTTCTCAAAAAATGAAGAGGAAAAATGAAATCCTAACTTCAAAACTCTATTCCTGCACCAGAAATTTGAAGAAAACCAACTATTTTGTTGCTGCTTCAAAAAAAAGACTTTTCATAGTGGTGAAGGACCTGAAATTGCTGAGCATTTTGTAGTTGTAGATTTTAGTTTTAGGCTGTTACTCATTTATTTACAACTGAAAAGACGAAAAAGGGCCAAAAAAAAAATTCCCCTTTACTATACGAAAAAGATTATTTGTACCTCAATGTACTATCGGTCCATCATAACCCCCGACGTTATAGAATTGGCACAAAAATACTCCTCTGCCGTCAGGGTCCTACACCATGGCTAATGTCACAGGGGTGATTTATGTCAGTCCGAATTCTGCCCGAGGTTCACCACTATGCGACAGTCAAGCCCAGCCTTGACTTCAGCCTTCCAACACTTAAAATATTTTTAGGGACGTTTGGGACTTAGAATAATTTAGGCAGCAAAGTAAAGTAAAGGCACACATGAAATTTACAGGAATTTCTTCCCAACTCGTATTAATATGTGAAATACAAGAACACAATAAAGTCAACCCTATGGCCAAGAACAAAGAACACCCTAATTCCCGGCCCCAAAATGACCTCCTACCCTTAGACGTTTTTGGTTAACACTTTGCCACAAGACTAAGTTCTTCCCTTTGGAACAACCCTATGCACGTTTTTATAGTGCAGGCTGCCCAACTACACATAGCAACATCTAAAACAATCAGTTGAAAATCCCCAACAGATGAGCAAACATGAGAGACATGCATAAAAACGTGCATCCACTTAGCCAATGGTCAAACATGCTTGGATGTGATAGTTGTAACCACTCAACTGCACTGCCATGTGCCCAACACACTTTGTAATCGCTACTTGTGCATTGCATTTGCTTATTTTGGCCAACTGCTATGCGCCCAAGGCTAGCATTACGCCCAGCCTTGCCCTTTGACACTGCTCCGCCCCAATGTCATGGCCATAGCTTGTCGCCCATGACTTAGCCACACATGCCCGCTGCCACAGCTGCTTGCGCATGTCAAGTCGCCCCCAACTTGATCAAATCTGTCCATGCCAATGTCATAGCTTGCCTTGCCATGTCTTGGCCCCTGCCTTGACATGGATTTGCCTTGCCATTGTCATGCCAACTCGCACGTCCATGTGAAATACGTCTTGTCTCTGTCAAGGTGTGTTTGTCAATCCCGTATAGCCCGTCATGCCGAGTTGCCCGTCATGGTATAGCCCTAATTTTCAGGTTGTGTGTCAAGGTCATCATGCAAATCCTTGTTACAACCCACATTTGCCGATGAACTTTGTCAAGGGACTAACAACTAACATCATCACACATGGTCTGACATTTTGTTGAGGTGGACGTCATATGACATGCCACCTCACTGCCCTACCCCATTTTACCCTCTCTCCCAATTATTTTCTCCAACACCACTGGAGTATTCTTTTTCTGAACATTACTAGTTCCCAATGCCATCAAGACTCAAAAATTTTAACCTCTTTCAGCTCCTTCTCCACAACGCAAGATTCTCTATATAGATATACTTAATTTTTTGAGGCCATTATATTTATTTTTTATTGTATAGATATACATGTAAAGTACTATGTGGGTGTTCTATATTTTCTTGTAAATTGATATTGAATTTTCAAATATACGAATTAATTAATCTTTAATTGAATTGAAGAAAGATAAAAATGCGTGCAAGAAAAATACATCCATTATTCTATATAACATTAGAGAATGGTACTTCGGAAATAAAAAACCAGTTACCAAAGCAGACATTGATCCAGTTTTAAAGTTTAAACAAAACTCTCATTCAATTTTGGTTAAGGGGCATATATAGTAGTCTTTATTATTGAGAATAAAACCCCATATTTATAGTTCGAACAAAACTCAGTGGTCATCCAAAAGAAAAAAAAGTCACATGTACTCTATTTGTCTTTATTGGGGTAGTTCAAAGATGGCATCCTTCTTATTTGTTCATCAATCATAGTAGATAGCTCAATTTGGAATAAATTGGAGCTTTTATTTATTTGTCATGGATGCTTGAATAGCAACAATATTTACTTCACTCTAGAACTTATTTCTTTGCCTTGCCTTTCCTGAAACTTTGTTTTTATTCGGCTGATGGACTTGCCAAGCTATTTTTGGCGGTTGTTAGGCAAAAAGAGAGTTGGTATTGGAGGAAAAGATGACGGAGAGGTGAAACGGGATTGAGGCGGTGAGGTAGCATGTTGCATGACATCCATCTCAACAAAATGTCAGATCATATAGGATGATGTGTCCATGGTGGAGGGCTCTAGCAACAGAAGGATATTTTTGTACCAATTTTATAACGCTGGGGCTGTAATGGACTGATAGTATAACAAAGAGTATATGATTTTTTTTGCACAGTAAAGGGGTATTTTTGACCCTTCTCCATTGAAAAAAACGTATGTTGGAGTTGCCTTGATTATTTTGCTCATAACATTTTGAGACCTAGGTTGTAAAGGAAAGATGGTGTAGCGACCCGATCGGTTGTTTTGATTTTTAGAATCATGTTCCCCTAAATAAGACTTTTCAGACGTGCTTTTACTATTTTATGACTTGCGGGAATGGTTAGTTCGGGATTTAGAAGGGTTCTGGTTGAAATCGGAACATTTGGTTCCTTAAGATTGGCCAAAAAGGCTAAGTTTGACTTCGGTCAACATTTTGAGAAAACGACCTCAGAATCAGGATTTGACGGTTCAAATATGTTTGTATGATGATTTCGGACTTGGGCATATATTTGGATCAGATTTTGGATGACCCGGGAGCATCTTGGCGCCTAATAGTGAAAGTTGGTTCTTTGAAGGTTTTTGAAGTTATTTAAATTTAGTTTGGAGTAGGTTTTTGTGATATCGAGGTCCGAATGGAATTCTGAAATCGGAAATAGTTCCGTAATATCATTTAAGACTTGCACATAAAATTTGGTGTCATTCCGAGTAGTCTAAGTATAATTCGGTGCATCCGGAGCGATTTGGAAACTTGAAGTTCATATTTTGATTCAATTTAGTTTTGGGGTATGATTCTTGGTTTTGTTGTTGTTTTACACATTTCGAGAGTTCGAGCAGGTCTGGATTATGTTTACAGACTTGCTGGTATAGATGGACGGGGTCCCGAGGAGCTCGAGTGTGTTTTGGATCACCCGGAGCAAAGTATGAAAAACCAAAAATTTCTAGTTCTGGTTTCCTTCTACGCGAACGCGAAAGGACCCTCACGTTCGCGTAGAAGGATTTAGGGGACCGAGGCTGGGGGCATTTTTTCCTTCGCATTCGCGTAGGCAGGACAGAGTTCGCGGAGGTTGGGCCTTTGCATTCGCGCTAGAAGGGCTGCGTTTGCGTAGAAGCCTGGGTCTGGGACTAGTCCACCCTTGTTTCCCTTCGCGTTCTCGTGCCTAGCCCCGCATTCATGTAGAGACTTTTTTTGGTCTCCTCAGTTTATCCATTGCGATCACCAGAGCTTGGCCGCGATCGCGTATAAGGACCCCAAGGCAGAATCATCTTTTAAAAACGGCACTTAGGCTATTTTGGCTCATTTTCTTTCATTGTTGGGCGATTCTTGGAGATCTTAGAGAGAAGATTTCACCTAGCACTTTGTGGTAAGTAATTTCTATACAATGTGAGTTAAATATATAGTTTATGGGTAGATTATAACATGTAAATTAGTGAAAATTATGGGTTTAGGTGAAAACCTAGGTTTTTGATAAAAATGGGATGTAACCACGAAATTTGTTATGGAACTTAGGGAAAATCATATATTTGTGTTCATAAGGTTATGGGTAACAACTTTCTTCAAAAAATTTCGGAATCCGGGCACGTGGGCCCGGGGGTGTATTTTAGGAATCCTACACTTGGGGTTGGGTAATCACTTTAATAGTTGAAATATGAACTTTTGAGCATGTATTGATTAATTTATACACCATTTGATTAGTTTTGGATTGTTCGGCACCGAATTGAGGGTTTGAGCATAATCTTGGACCTGAAAGTAGGCTTTGAGATAAGGTAAGTCTCTTTTCTAACCTTGTAAGAGGGAATTAACCCTATAGGTGAATTGAATTAATATATGCTTCTATTTGTGGGGCTACGTACGCACGAGGTGAATGGATATGGCCTACATAAGGATGATTGCCCAAAAACAACAGGCATAATGCTATTACAACAAAAAGGCAAAGGCCAGACCACTTAAAATCGGGGACTACGTGCTCAAAGCTAAAACACAAGCAAGCAAAGACCC